TAAGCCTATCTTCTTCATGAAGAGGTGAAATTAACACGAACTAAGAGATAATCCAGATTCTGCAATAAGTCATCAACATTCAACTTCACCTTCTGATGAATAACTTATCATGCAGATTTAAGCCTATCTTCTTCATGAAGAGGTGAAATTAACACGAACTAAGAGATAATCCAGATTCTGCAATAAGTCATCAACATTCAACTTCACCTTCTAATGAATAACTTATCATGCAGATTTAAGCCTATCTTCTTCATGAATAGGTGACACAAAAATTATTGTGTGTACAGGAAGACCTGCCAAATTAAGCTTTAGATAAGATAATTTTATTCATAACCATATATAAACTAATCACACTTTCTATTTGCTATTTTTCTATAATACACAGTTAAATTTCATTCTGGCTATTAACATGATAATAAATGACAAGATACTAGGACGATATGTCACACTCAATTAACTAGCTGTGGTATAACGTATAAGATCATTAATTATCATTCGCAAAGTAGGCGCGTATATCATGTACAAATGTCCTAAATTTTATGCTTTTACCTTCGGGCCAGTATGTCAGAGATAATGTTTAATGTTTTATTTTAAATCAGACAATCAAACTATATCTCTAAACTTTCTAAGAATTGCACGTTATTGAAAGATCGGTTGTTTATTCGTTCGTTACAAGTTACGAAATACCTGACGTCAATCAAAAGAACTGCTGGCGTTTTAAGGATGATTAAGTCGTGCTTAGTTTCAGAAACAAGATCTAAACGGATCCGTTATTAAACAGCCATAAAACAAAAACACTGAAAACTTTTAAACTTTATAACGAGGTTTTACGCCTCAAGTATCGTAAGCTAATGTAATTTGAAATGTTATAATCAATAACTTAAGGTAATTATCGATATATTATCTACTATTATGCACTGTTTGTCACCAGATTGATGAATTATGCAATGCTATTCCCCATAAGTCTAACATGCAGCTATATTAAAGTCTCACATAGGTAGTTATTCAAGAAATAATTGAGTATAAGTTGCACATTGATAAGCCTATTATAATATCACTAGTAGCACATTTCAGTCTAAAGTGTCACCCTAAAAGTGTCACAATCTTACTTGATTTTAAACTCAAGTTTATTGTCAAACGTATGTTTTGTATTTTTCATTAACTTCGCTAAGATATATAAAACACAAACTCATTAGGAAATATCACCAACAGCTACTTTCATACGAACACTTTAATGCGTATACACTCAAACATATATAAAAGTCAGATCGATTTCTTTAAGATATCTATGTGTTTTCTGATTAGTAAATGCTATCTTTGTTCATCCGAAATATCGAACAGTCCCAAAACAAAATATTTATGGCGAAATATTCCTTTCGTTGAATATATATTAAAATGGAAAAACGTATTTTACCGGGATATAGCTTGAAAGTTTGAAGATTTGTGCTTATTTATTGAAGAAGATCCCAAGCTGTTTAGTAACATAGTTTATTTATTGAAGAAGATATCAAGATATCCCAAAACATGTTCAATATCTATTTCTTCATTTGATATAAAAGATCACCCTTACTCTGAAGTTGTCTTTAGTGAATTGTACAGTTTGAATAGTATTTTCGTAGATACGAAAACAAAATACGCATTGTGAGTCTGGAGAGTCCTACTACGTACATTGTGAGTCTGGAGAGTCTTACTACGTACATTGTGATTCTGGAGAGTCTTACTACATACATTGTGATTCTCGAAAGTCTTACTAAGTATATTGTGAGTCTGGAAAGTCTTACTACGTGCATTGTGAGCTTGGACAGTCTTAATAGCTACATTATGATTCTGGAAATTCTTACTAACTGCATTGTGATTCTAGAAAGTCTTGCTACGCGCATTGTGAGTTTGGAAGTCTTACTATATGTATTGTGATTCTGGAAGTCTTACTATGTATATTGTGATTCTGGAAAGTCTTAGTATGTACATTGTGAGTCTGGAAGTCTTACTATGTATATTGTGCGTCTGGAAAGTCTTACTACGAGCATTGTGAGCCTGGAAAGTCTTACTATGTGCATTGTGAGTTTGGAAGTCTTACTATGTATATTGTGATTCTGGAAAGTCTTAGTATGAACATTGTGAGTCTGGAAGTCTTACTATGTATATTGTGAGTCTGGAAAGTCTTACTATGTGCATTGTGAGTCTGGAAATTCTTGCTAACTACATTGTGAGTCTGGAGAGTCTTACTACGTACATTGTGATTCTGGAGAGTCTTACTACATACATTGTGATTCTCGAAAGTCTTACTAAGTATATTGTGAGTCTGGAAAGTCTTACTATGTATATTGTGATTTTGGAAAGTCTTACTAACTACATTTTGATTCTGGAAAGTCCTTCAACTTACAGCAAGGAAGAACCGTTATTCTGCATAAAATACCCCAAAACCTAGATTTTCTAGAAGGACCAGCTCCTTATCTAATTCAATAATATACGTAAAACTTGGCTATATTACCTTCGTTATAATTTATCATGAAGATTGGATGGTCCTTAAAATCTGTATCTCTCTAGGCTATTACACGCATATTTATGAAACAAATAGCTTTCATTAACTCAAATTTATAGGTATTATACAATTTTAGGATTTGGAGTCGAGATGATAAGTTTAAAATATTGATCGTAAGCACCTTGTATAACATGCAATTCCTTCTGTAATGGGTTAAAATTAGCTCCATAATTCACTCAAATAAAGCTGACGATCACCTGATATATTCAGCAAATGAGATTTGATTTGATTTTTCTGGAAACGTAGCCCGTCCCCAGTGCTCAGATTTGTTTGAAGACTATTTATACTCTAATGATACTTTATTGGTTGTCAATATGTTATATAATAACTGTTTCTCTAACCCATTCTTATTAGATATATATATCCGCGATACATCGACTGTAAAGTATGTTGATTGTTAAATGACAAAAAAAATAGCTGATACATTTTAGATACTGCATTCATAAAAATAAATCCCACATTCGAAGTTTCACCCGGTTTTCCTACCAAGTTTTTCATTAGACTTAGAAACAATGATATGAAAAATTCAACTAAACCATTAACATACTTTTCTTCCGATAAACAACAGCAGAAAAGATGAATACGTAAGTTGCATAAGCATGTAAAATCAATCAACAGGCGAGGAAAGCGTTACTAATTAAAATATGAATTATCACGTAAGAAAAACTTGCTTCGTGTGTGGATGAAATTCGGAAATGATGCTTAATAGATAGTCACATAACCAAACACATGTGTTTTACATTTTGTTATGACGCATAAAATATTCACGTATAAAATCGGCTATTAATTTGTTCATGTTTCGTCTCACTAGACTAAACATAGAATTTAATTAATAAAAAAATATGATGACAGCGAGATTTTAGGAAATGGTTGTAATATGTAAATCTAATCTCAGCATATTATATTTTTACACTCTTACACATTTACCCCCCAACGAAGTAAGTAGATTTTTTTAGATAATTTGTATAGAGTATACAAATAGGTTTGTTAAAAAGTGGCTTGCTGAATATAATGATAACTAGTACTATCAGTGCTTAATATAACGTGATAAATAATATATTTCATTCACGCATCAAATAACAAATTTAAGGGCACATTTTCCTTTATATTTTTCTTATTGTAATTGTAATTATGCACTATATTTTTCAAATAAAGTTTTACACTTTGAATTAATCAAAGAGATTTAAGTAGCTAATTAAATATCTAAATTTTAGAATATTGAAAATACAAAATTAAAAAAACAACAGAATCTTTCAATGAGAATTAAAAAGAAAAATGTGAAACACTGTTATTTTAAATATAACAAATAAGTTTTGAAACTGTCAAATACAATAATAAAATTAAAATGTTTAAAATACATATTTTAATTTTAAAAGATGAAACAAAAGAATTGAATAACTATAATGTCGAAGTCTTGAATATTCATGCTAGAAGTGTAAACACATTGCAAAGATTTTAAACGTACCTAAACAACTATTATATAAGATTTATGTATATATGTATATTAATTATAAATTAGAAAAAAAAATCTCTATAAATTGTTAGGATATACAGGGTGGTGAAAAAGTCACACACCACCAACACCACCTTAATTTTTGTGTCTTTGCAGCTGTTTGTTTCTTATTAAATTTTACGCAAAGTTACCCGAATACTGTCTACGCTAAGCCGTCCCTAATTTAGAAGTGATAAACTAGAGAAAAGGCAACTAGTACCCACCACCCGTCGCTAACTCTTGGGGGCGTTATAATGTAACGGTCAATCCTTATGACTGAAAGGGGGAACATGTGCGATGAAGGAATTCAAACCTCCTACCCGCAAATTGCGAGTTTAGTGCCCCAACTACCAGGTCATGTCAGGCCTTGTTGAAAATGTACATCGTTTTGCTCAAGCTGTGGCTCAAGTTTTGTATATTTTAAAAACGATAACCTGTACATTTTATTGTAGGTTTAATGACTTCAAAAGCTGTGAAACACTTAGAACAGTCATAGTCACTCTGTAGGCCCACATCTTGTTTGCTCATGATAACATTGCAATTTAAATTCATTGTACAATGCTATTATGTTATTTTTGTATTAGAAATATAATAAATAATAATAATCCCTGTAGACTCCCACTGGAACATAGGGCCCCAACAACACCTCGCCGACGGAAGTTGTTGTTGCAGAAATTTTTTTTATCAGGTTGGTTTTTATGGGGAGGAGTTGCTATCCCCGCGCCCAACCCTCCTCCTTTCTCATTCTGGACTTGGGACCAGGTATCCCTGCCGGGGTACGAACCCGGTACCTTTGGATTAGATATCCACTGCGCTATAGGAAGATATTTTTGTATTAAGGAACTAAATTAATTGAAATATGTCATTTAAGGCTTATATCTAAATCAAGGTTTCTACTAAGTCCTGTACCATTGTCATCCTTTCTTTTTCTTAAACGGACAGATTATTTTACTTTTCGACGCCAGAAATAGTTTTCTCTACCAGTTTTTGAACTTCTTCAATTTTTAATTGTTGGTTTCATATAGAATATGGTCTTTTTTTATTTCTCATAACATATGCGTATTGGGCGCTCTGTTTCACCAATGTAAATATTGCTACAACAGATTACTTTTTTTATATCGAAATATTCCATGTAAAATAGGCAAACAACTGGAGACAAAGGTACACCCACAGTTATTCCTTCTTCCATGGAGTGAGGTTTTAAAATATATTGAAGTTGAACTCTTTGATACATTGTTGTAAAAGAAACACACGTGTAGAGGACGACGTTTCGAAAGTATTTCGTCTTGAGCCAGTTGCCGCCCATTCCAGTGTAACCATCATCTTTTAAAATTGTTTTAATCACAAATTTGATGACTTCCTAAACAGTTTGTTTGTTTGTCTTGAATTTCGCGCAAAGCTACACGAGAGCTATCTGCGATAGCCGTCCATAATATAGCAGTGAAAGACTAGAGTGAAGGCATCTAGTCATCACCACCCACCGCCAACTCTTGGGCTACTTTTTTTACCAACGAATAGTGGGATTGATCGTCACATTATAATGCCCCCACGGCTGAAAGGGCGAGCACGTCTGGTGTGACGGGGATTCGAACCCGCAACCCTCGGATTGCGAGTCGAGCGCCTTAACCACCTGGCCATGCCGGGCCATCCTAAACAGAAACTTTAGTAAAGAGCAAAGTTATGTTGAAACAAGTAGATAAATATCAGTCATTACTACATCATTAAATCCGGTGAACGAATTGTTCGGAGTTTTTTTTGTATGGAGTAACCCCACTAACAACATAAATAATAAAGAACGATCAACATCTCCAACTGAATACATCTGGAAAATTAACACCAAAAAGCTCACATTTCTCTCGAGGACATCAAATGCACGAAGTCCCAAAAATACTTAACGCAAGCTATTGAGGCTTTAAGCTTTTACCATTACAACTGTAAGTTTCTTGTTTGTTTCAAGTTAAGCATAAAGCTACAAAATGGGCTATTTGTGCTCTGCCCACCACGGGTATCGAAATCCGATTTCAATCGTTGTAACTCCGCAGACATACCGCTGTGCTACTGGGGGTAAGTTTTTTGTATGTATCGTTTGGATATATAGTCTTGTGCTCACCACTAATAACACAGAATAATTTAAGTGTTTGGATCGCATGTGACATAGCGTTACAATTAATTATTCATTATTATTCAGCCAACTAACTGGTTAGATTGTTAATTTATTTTCTTCACCAAAACGTGAATTTCAAGTAGAGGTCTAATCTATTCACTGATTTGATACTTCCGCTCAATACACTAGTTTTACTGAATTCACGGCCAATCAGTGCTGTTTAATTAATTATTTAGATCGTGCTAGTTAATTAATGCTTTTAGCAAAATATATCTGCGTGTCATATATTTTAGAAGCGGCTTGTTTGTCTGATAAGAATCATTTGTTGTGGATGTAAACCTAACATATCCACCTAAACATTATGTCCATCCGAACTGTCAGATGATTCAAAAGTGAAACGTCCATCTAACGTAAGTATAAATAACGGCTTTTCCACCTAAACCATTATATTGGAAACTTAAAACATTGCATGTTCATCCCAACCATCTAATATAGATCTTAAACCTGTCGCGTCTATCTGTTCTATCCATTGTAGATTTGAAAATTGACAAGTTCACCTGAATAGTCTGGCATGTCCATCTGAAGTACGTAATGTATATTTAAACCGAACATGTCCGACTGAACCGCCTAATGTCACTTGGAAAAACTGTTTATGTACAGTTCCAAACGGTCTGATGAGTTCTGGTATTGAGCGAAAGGGTTCCTTGGCTGTATATGTCATGTTTATTGGTGTTGTAAACTCATAGAATAGGGCCAGTAAAGAAAAATTTCTAAGAAGTTACTATCAGTCTTATTGTGAAGTAATATTACACATATCAGTGATCAATAAATAACACTTCCTCAACATAAGCGTTATGTTCCATTATATTTTATGTGATATAAATGGTGTTTTGAATGAGAATGTGTATTTTGCATTCTCAGCTGATCAAATGAACTCTGGTATTGGGCGAAAAGTTTCGTCGTCAGTAGCGTGCGGTACATAGGGTATTTGGTCAAGATGCTATTATGTTTCTTATGATGTAATGTCAAAACACTACCGATGAACATATCATGCTTTGCCTGAATAGGCCATTATGTAATATGATAATTGACGTATAAACAACTGATACCAATGGATTTTAATAGGCTTGTTTACCGAGATTTGCGTTAAAGAAACATCATTATCATTATATTTCTAGAAACAAAATAACGAAAGAGATTCGTGTCGACATCACTATGTGAAAAATCCATTAATATTGATTATTTGAAATATTTGGAATACAAATAACTTGAAAACTGTGTAGAACAAATATTCGGAACACAAATGAGTTAAAAATTATGTAATACATACGTTGAACTAAAGCACTGGGGCCTTCTAGCGTTTATGTTTAAATAATAGAGGCAACACACTTTGTACCAAAGATATTTTACTTAAATACATGAAATTTCCTCTGTTTATGTTTAAGTGTAAAGCTACACTGTGCCCACTATGAGTATCGAACCTCGAATTTGTAGCTTTATAAGCGCTCGACTTTACAGCTGAGCCACCTGAGGGAAATACCTCAAATTACATAATATCTAATTGACTAGTTTAAATCTGGTTTGTTTTTACATGCTTAAGATTTCTTTTATCGAATGTTCGAAATTTGATTTCATTCCTTTACATTATTATTACATAAATATTAGTTACATTTCTAATTACAGAATTATTGTTTGATAAACAATAGCCATGTTACATTCACGTACATTATTATTATATAAATATTAGTTACATTTCTAATTACAGAATTATTGTTTGATAAACAATAGCCATGTTACATTCACGTACATTATTATTATATAAATATTACTTACATTTCTAATTACAGAATTATTGTTTATAAACAATAGCCATGCTACATTTTCGTACATTATTATTATAGAAATATTAGTTACATTTCTAATTACAGAATTATTGTTTGATAAATAATAGCTAATAGACCACCGTTATCGTTGGGTCAACCACTATTCAGAGGTTATGAAGAATTCAAGCTAATTTCAGTATTGCACCGAAATGAAGGTTTATTTTCAGATAATATAATTAAATATTTCAATCCATTCGTGTTATTCATACATAACTCAAGAAAAAATATTTCATTGTTGATCGGGAGTAAAAGGAAACACCATTTCATTTTTCAAAAAAGTGAAGTAAGAAGTTTCGTAAAGAGCGCGAACGGTAGTGTGAATGATTTTTTGACTGAGAAAATAAGCAAACAAACAAACAATCTCAGAGTTTTAGTAGTATATAGATAGATTCTTCAAGATCCTGTTTTTGTCATCTTACGACTTTTAATGGAGATGGGAACATTGACAGGGAAATAATATAATAGCTCGGCGAGATGTTTTCGTTTATCAAATTTTGTTATTGTTCTCGACTTGATTTTTATTTTATTACCTCGTCTCCATAGTTATTATTTGCAAATATTAAATAATATTATAGGTCCATTTTATTGTTGTTCTTTCTATGCGCCGTTATAATACATTTTCATCTCATCATATAATTTCTGTTGTGCATATATTGTTGTATAGAAGATAGTTTAAAGTGATTCTTCAGGTGGAAAACGAAGTTTTATAATGTACGAAAAGTGACCTGAAAAACGGCGCTAACTCGGTAACCCGTGGCCCGATTTTAAAGAAACTTGTTTTATTCTGTTTCTATTTTCATTGGATTACAAATATGGCGCTATTGTGCGCCGTTTTTGCTATATTTAATTACAGACACACAAACAAACAAACAATCTCAGAGTTTTAATAGTATATAGATGTTCCATTCACGTACATTATTATTATAGAAATATGAGTTACATTTCTAATTACAGAATTATTGTTTGATAAATAATAGCTATGTTCCATTCACGTATATTATTATAGAAATATTAGTTACTTTGGAAATAATTTTTTGATTTTTGCATCACGTTTCAATTGGAGCTGAAATCAGCTTATCGTTGTGAAATAAAATATCAAAACTGATAAATACTGGAATTATTCAAAGATGTGTAACGATTGATATCTTCCTAATTCACATTGATATTTATCATGTGAGCCAAAAAGGCTAACTGTAGGAAATTTTAGGTCTATTCTTAGTCACGTATAGCCAAGAATTGTCTAATGTCGTTAATAAGCTTGAGGAATACTGAAGTACGAATAAGCAGACAGTTAAATAATTACGTATCTTGCAGTAATACTTGTACTAATGATTACACGACAAATTACACTTGCTTCTTAGAAATAAAACAAAGTCCTTTTTAGATTCTTGGAGACAGAAAATCAATCATGATTTCTATCTGAAACAACAAATTCCAAATTTTCAAAGAAACAAGACTCTTTCAGTTTTCACAAAATCGATAGTTGTGAAATTGGATAAAGACTAAAAC